AATATACCAAGAACATACAATCCAACAGAAGGGAAACAGAGCAGTGGAGTAGTCAGTTAAATTACAGAGGAGAGAGAAGGCTCCATGAACACCACTCGCAGTAGGCTCCCTGTGGAAGGATGTGATTTACCCCCTTTGCCATGAGAACTGCTAAGGTCCAACAGACAGTGATCGAGCCGGGACACCTGGCTTTTAACGGCAAACGTTTGCCATCCATTCATGCTGTCTTGCCTCCGATCCTCGATTCCCTCTGACACTGGAGTGACACTTTGACAAGTGTAAATACTCCACATATGAGCTGCTGCTGGCTCTGATCAGAAGCCTTGCAGCCTGAACTGTGCAGGTTTGTCACTGTCTTGGCAGAGTGGCTGTCTGCAGGAAAGGGGGCCTGAAGAAAGGTGGTCTGGAGAGCACTAAAAAGGTGGTATGATCTTGGGGCACAAAAGAGGATGGAAAACACCCCTCTCTTCCCCAGCATCACCAAAGCCCTTCTCTTCTCTCCCAAGAGGTGGAGACAGAATTCAGGTTATCACCAGTTATTTGTTGAATAAGTCAAATTTCTGCCACTCTGCTCAGGAGACCCAGGATGTGTTCTCAACCCATGTAGCTTCCCTACCAAACCAATGCTTGGGGAAAGCTGTCCGCTTACTGCTGGGACCTCGGAGGGGTAGCAGGGAAGGGACAGCTTCATATGCAGCTGACAAAGCCCAAACTCATAAAATAAAGGACTATTAAGGGCAGAATGAGTTTCACATCTTTTATGCAATAAAAAAAAAAAGATATTGGGCTGAATTTTCACATCCTGGAATGGGCTGGGGTATTCTGTTTGCTTCAAGTCCAGCCACTGTGTAAGTTCTTAAAACTGGATCATGCAGAAAGTTTGAAGAATGAACAAGTTTTGCCAGTTGAAAGTCAGAATCTCAGATCAGGATAATATTTTATTGACTCACAACTCAAAAGGAATTTAAGCAATTTGCTTCAAACACTGCTGAAAGATTCTCCTCTGCTTTCTGAGTAAGTGCTGAGCTTTCCAGGCCAAACCAATTTTTCAAGCCCAAATTGACAAATGCTAAAATAGAATGTCACTAGAGAAGCTAGTTGCTACCTTAAATCACACAGAATTACTTTTATTCCAGAATAATAAAATGCGCTACTCAAAACCAATACTTCTCTTGCACTAATAAGCAATGGACCACTGGGTGCCCACCAAGGTCAGCTCCAACCTCCTCTGAAGAGAGCTGCTCTGAACAGAACATGCCATGGATGAGGGATCAGAAAAAGCAATTAAAAGCTCTTTGAACAGCAATAGCTTGGAACAAATACTAATTTGTACTTCACCTCTGAGAAGTGAATATAAAATAGCATTTCTAGTGTCATTTGATGTAAATTGAGCCTTTTATGTGGAATCATTACAAGTATCAACAGCTACTTCTGCAAATTCCTCTGGGGAGCAAAGCGGTGGGGTCTCTCCTCACAGCTTAAACCAGAGTTCCTCATGGATGAATTCAGAGTTCACCCTTCTGCAGGGATAACACCAGTATCTCTCCTGGACAAATGAACAGGACTCTGTCCTACTGAACAACTGGAGAGCTGGGAATCAAGGCAGACCAAAGAAGTAGCAATTATTTTTTCAGACCAGTCAGTGAAACACACACAGGAGCTGACTCTGGGACAAAACGGTATCAGCTTTCAGTGGCAAAGAGGCACTTGGAAACAGCTCCTGGAACGGGACCTGCCTGTGCCAGGCACCTCTCCCCGCTGTCCCAAAGGCATGGAAGAGGTCATGGTTTTGGAGCTTACTGCTCCTGCTTGGTTGCTGCAGTGCCATGGCACGTTCTCAGATACTCTGGAGAATTGTCAGCTGCAATGAATGCATAACAAAGTCATCCAATGTATTGAAATTGCCTGGAAGATTAATGCAAGAATTGCCTTCTTTGTACTTCGTTTTTCTCATCTGTGGGAGTGATAATTCATGCTGGAGATAGACAAATAAATAAATAAAGCATGAGAGGAGGGAGGGAGTTAAATAAAAAAAAAAAAAAAAAAAACT